TTACAACGTATAGAGTCTATACTTTTTCTGATTACAACGTATAGAGTCTATACTTTTTCTGATTACAACGTATAGAGTCTATACTTTTTCTGATTACAACGTATAGAGTCTATACTTTTTCTGATTACAACGTATAGAGTCTATACTTTTTCTGATTACAACGTATAGAGTCTATACTTTTTCTGATTACAACGTATAGAGTCTATACTTTTTCTGATTACAACGTATAGAGTCTATACTTTTTCTGATTACAACGTATAGAGTCTATACTTTTTCTGATTACAACGTATAGAGTCTATACTTTTTCTGATTACAACGTATAGAGTCTATACTTTTTCTGATTACAACGTATAGAGTCTATACTTTTTCTGATTACAACGTATAGAGTCTATACTTTTTCTGATTACAACGTATAGAGTCTATACTTTTTCTGATTACAACGTATAGAGTCTATACTTTTTCTGATTACAACGTATAGAGTCTATACTTTTTCTGATTACAACGTATAGAGTCTATACTTTTTCTGATTACAACGTATAGAGTCTATACTTTTTCTGATTACAACGTATAGAGTCTATACTTTTTCTGATTACAACGTATAGAGTCTATACTTTTTCTGATTACAACGTATAGAGTCTATACTTTTTCTGATTACAACGTATAGAGTCTATACTTTTTCTGATTACAACGTATAGAGTCTATACTTTTTCTGATTACAACGTATAGAGTCTATACTTTTTCTGATTACAACGTATAGAGTCTATACTTTTTCTGATTACAACGTATAGAGTCTATACTTTTTCCGATTACAACGTATAGAGTCTATACTTTTTCTGATTACAACGTATAGAGTCTATACTTTTTCTGATTACAGCGTATAGAGTCTATACTTTTTCCGATTACAACGTATAGAGTCTATACTTTTTCTGATAACAACATATAGAGTCTATACTTTTTCTGATTACAACGTATAGAGTCTATACTTTTTCTGCTTTGCGCTTGCGATTTTGTGCCCCGGAAAGCTTTGTGTTCCCCATATTCCTTCTGCTGAAATAATTGTAAGAGGGACAAGGAAACACGGTATTAATAAATTAATTGCCCCGCCCTTTCGGTTGGTCCCAACCCCAGTGTTTGTATCCAAATTAAGAATGCAACTTTCATTGTATGAAAACTCATTGCATAAAAAGTGATTGTACGAAAAGTTAGAAAACCGTTTCTCGATCCCGGACCCGATGTTCACACTTCACTATCCTAAACTAAGGGAATTTAAATATTTACTGGGCGCCCCAGGCGCCCCTATGGCCACAGCGCCCTGTGCGAGGGCACAGGTCGCACATCCTAAAGGTCTGCGTTAGTATATTATTAATTATTTACTTCCAAAACAATCTTGTAAGAGATACATTACTGCATATAAGTATAAATATTTATAATTTGTTTTTAAATCCGTTAGACCAATTTCGCTTTTGTTCGTGGCTGGGTGGGCAACTGGCTGGCACAATTTTCGGTCGGCTAATTGACGCACTTCCCGTCAACCTACCGTGCTAAAACTTAGCAC